TAATCTGCTAATGCTGCTGGATATAATAACTCTTCTGGTATCAGACTGTTTCCAAAAACTTATCTACTTCGTCTGAAACTCCTTGGGGCACATTCTATTACCAAGTGATGCCATTTGGTTTGAAAAATGTTGGAGAAACTTATCAAAGGGCTATGGTAATCTTGTTTCACGACATGATCCATAAGGAAATCAAGGTGTACATAGATGACATGATTGCTAAGTCGAAAAGCAAGACTGATCACCTCGTTCACCTAAGAAAATTATTCAATCGACTCCGATCTCCCCCTTTTTGATGATGACAAATATAATTGATCAAATGGTTTCAGATACACTACATCAGAAGTATTTGCAAGTTCATTTCATTTCTCCCCTTAGTTTGTGTATTCCCCCTTACTAGATTGTCTCTTAGCCGAGTCTGATAAGCTGATCAATTCTTTTCTATTTCTCCCCCTTTGTGATCATCAAAAAGAAATATATGCCAGACAATGATATTTTGATCGGATCATGAAAATCAAAACTTTTATCAAAGCATTCAGTCTATTAGGATGATAACCATGCATGAACTATGTGTACTTAGTTAAACTAGATTAAGTTTGAATCATCTAACTTATACGGGAGGAAACACAATTGTACAATAAAAACTTATTATCATTTTTCTCATTTGTAGTCATCAAGATGAATGAGTTTATAAAGATAATCAGACATCAGAAAAACTTATATAGTAAGCGAGGTGCTTAAAGAGAAACTGTAGTCATGAGCAGAATGAATTATGCCCGAAGAAAGACGCATTAATCTGAATTATAAATATGTGCTACATGAAGATTCTGTATGATCAAATGAAAACACATTTAATATGATTAATCAGACGAAGTAGATAAGTTTTTGGAAACAGTCTGATACCAGAAGAGTTATTATATCCAGCAGCATTAGCAGATTATTTCTCATATCAGCCAATAATTCTAGATAAGAAGAAGTACATTTATTAATGACTAGACTTAGAGTTATATACATCATGAGAAATCTACACATGGAGTTTTTTTTATCTTGGTTATCCCTATTTTACTATTTCTCCTACGGTGATCACGACCCCACATCCTTGTGAGGATCTATTGGAGTAGGGAAGCTTTTTCAAAAGATGAGAATGAGGGATCTTTTGCTTGATTTCTAGCAGAAGGTCATTTTTATGGATGAAGCACGTTCAATGAGTTTTTCCTACAGATGAACTTGCTTCTCCCTTCTTTTGCCAAAGCCCAATCCTCATTCTTCTTGTGCTTCTTCAGCACCGACTTTGGAACAATTGTTTTTACTTATCTGTCCATTCTGGGTTGCATCTTCCTATGCCTGTTCTAACATAGAACTCTTGCTTTGAGAAGGTTGGTGTGCACCGAACACCATTCCTTCCAGGAATCTTTGAGGAGCATTCGAGAGGACATAGTGCATTAACACCAAGTTAGTGTAGATGACACCTCTAGTGCGGATACACCAGAGTATCTCACTTTCCTTCATCTGGTTCATATTAGAGGACGCTCCAGATACTTTTCTGGCTTTACCTTCGAGGTGAAGGCATAGGCGCAGGTTATGGCTTTAATCATTTCAGCAAGGTTGCTATGTCCATTTATTGTAGTGGATGACAATCATTTGGAAGGGAGTGGAGTATAGGAATTTAGAAAGGCTTTTGGAGTTTTTAGGAGTTCGGAAGTGTGAGTTGTGTTGTGATTTCTAAGAGCCCTATGGGTTTTTATAGCCAGAGAAAGCTTCAAAATTTATGATTATTTTTAATACATGCATTACGTGGCTCCTATTTATCTTCCTCGTGCAGAGTAATGTAAGGCTGCATTTAATTAGAGATAAGGGAGTCGTCTTTTCCAACAAATGCAAAAGTGAAGGTCATACTACCTATTGATTGAAAAGCATATCTATTGACAATGTTGACCTTATCCCCGACAGGTCCGACTTGCAAGGTTTGAGAAAGAAAGGGGATGAGCCTTTTAAAGCTTACGCGTAAAGGTGGAGGGAGCTGCAAGCACAAGTAGAACCTCATCTCTAATAAAGAGATGGTGACAATGTTCATCAACTCCTTAAGTGGGCCTTATTATGACAAAATGATAGGGAACTCTGCGACCCTATTTTTCGACATAGTCACCATAGGCGAAAGGGTCAAACAAGGACTAGAGAGCAGGATAATAGGGAAGACCTCGTTGAACTATGACTCCAAGAAGTTTTATGGGAAGAAAAAATAGGAGGGGGTCGATGTTTCCACTGTTGCAACCAACCCCTCAAGGAATATAGTCGCACCACAAACCGAGCCATGGAGGGAGAAGGTGGTGGACAAGATTCCTACTACTTGTGCAGAGTTGCTGCCTCAACTTTTGGAAGCCTCAATGCTGGTGCGACTTCCACAATTGAAGAAATTCAATCCTCCTTACCCTATGTGGTATAAGCCTGAGGAACGGTGTGATTATCACTCTAGTTCCCTCGGACATTCAGTGGAGCACTGCAAGGCCTTACAATTTCGTCTGCAAGGGCTTATACATGTTGGGTGGTTAAACTTCGACACCAACACACCCACTTCCAAATGATTGTCATCCACTACAATAAATGGACATAGCAACCTTGCTGAAATGATTAAAGCCATAACCTGCGCCTATGCCTTCACCTCGAAGGTAAAGCCAGAAAAGTATCTGGAGCGTCCTCTAATATGAACCAGATGAAGGAAAGTGAGATACTCTGGTGTATCCGCACTAGAGGTGTCATCTACACTAACTTGGTGTTAATGCACTATGTCCTCTCGAATGCTCCTCAAAGATTCCTGGAAGGAATGGTGTTCGGTGCACACCAACCTTCTCAAAGCAAGAGTTCTATGTTAGAACAGGCATAGGAAGATGCAACCCAGAATGGACAGATAAGTAAAAACAATTGTTCCAAAGTCGGTGCTGAAGAAGCACAAGAAGAATGAGGATTGGGCTTTGGCAAAAGAAGGGAGAAGCAAGTTCATCTGTAGGAAAAACTCATTGAACGTGCTTCATCCATAAAAATGACCTTCTGCTAGAAATCAAGCAAAAGATCCCTCATTCTCATCTTTTGAAAAAGCTTCCCTACTCCAATAGATCCTCACAAGGATGTGGGGTCGTGATCACCGTAGGAGAAATAGTAAAATAGGGATAACCAAGATAAAAAAAACTCCATGTGTAGATTTCTCATGATGTATATAACTCTAAGTCTAGTCATTAATAAATGTACTTCTTCTTATCTAGAATTATTGGCTGATATGAGAAATAATCTGCTAATGCTGCGATTAAAGCCATAACCTGCGCCTATGCCTTCACCTCGAAGGTAAAGCCAGAAAAGTATCTGGAGCGTCCTCTAATATGAACCAGATGAAGGAAAGTGAGATACTCTGGTGTATCCGCACTAGAGGTGTCATCTACACTAACTTGGTGTTAATGCACTATGTCCTCTCGAATGCTCCTCAAAGATTCCTGGAAGGAATGGTGTTCGGTGCACACCAACCTTCTCAAAGCAAGAGTTCTATGTTAGAACAGGCATAGGAAGATGCAACCCAGAATGGACAGATAAGTAAAAACAATTGTTCCAAAGTCGGTGCTGAAGAAGCACATTTAAAGATATTTAAAGTAATTTTATAGAAAAAGACAGTACAAGATTTTGTTATTATTTAAAGCCAAATTATGTATATAATTTTATGATAAATATATTTTTGATTATTAAATTTAGAATAGAGTTTTTTTATATCTCAAATTTAAAATTATTATTTTTAGTGCATATAATTTTCAAAAATTTCAATTTAATTTCTTAGGTTATTAATAACACATCTTTAAATCATATATTGAAATAGTTATGTGATATGAATTAGATTTAATATAATATTTTTATTATTGGTATAAAGATTTCTTTAACAAAATTTAAATATAAAAGTTAAAATAAATTTTTTAAAAATTATAAAAACTAAAAAAATTAATTTTAAATTTTAAAAATTAAAAATAAAATTTACCTTAAATTTAAGAAATTAAAAACATATTTAAAAACTAATTTTATTATAAAATTTGATACGATCTAACTTTTAGGTAGCGACTTGTGTTTTCACGTCAACAAGATTATTTCACCGAACAAACATCAATCAGATTATATCAAAATCTATAATAAAATTGAGACAAGTGGTTTCCTGCACTCTCTTCTTTGATGCCTGGCTGGCTCTGAATCTGTCTTGTCTCTTTTACACTCGTCACAGTCTATGAACCGAACATGTTGTTGCTTCAACCGTAGTCCCAAAATTGAATAAAAAATTCCTTTTATTATCCTTGCACTCAGCACTAAAACGTAGCCAAATTCTCCATAGTTTTATATATTTGTTACGATATACGAATTAAAATTTGCTTTTGTTTTTGGCACTGTCTTGAAATAGAAGCTCACCCCTTGGATGCTAAAGCGAATAATATTAAAATATAATTTGATTCAAGGAATGCGGTTTGTCTAAAACCCATCAAAATCATTTTCACCTGCTTTTGTTTTCCAATCAAGAAGGCCTCATCATGATGTGAATGCAACTTTATAAAACACTGCTTTTTCAAACTGGAAGGTACCCTAAGTGGCTAAGTTTAACCCTAAAGGGGTGACATCTTTTTTCTCATATCAAAAGTACCTTACCCAAAAAGCTAAACCAGATGGTGGTAGACTAAAATTAACAGCCCAAGGTTAATAAGACAGAGAAAGGAATGGATAAAAAGGTAAATAGGATATTATTGATACCATATACTATAAATGGAAATGAGATGAATTTTGATGCTTGGAGTTGGAGTTGGAGTAGACAGTCAATGGATTTTCTCTTTTTCTGCGTGGTCCAAACGCCCCATATGGCCTCTACACATTATTCCACGCGGTATGCATCATAATTTCAATATTCCATATTATTATAATATGGAAAACGAATAAATGGAGATTAAATAAGCGATGGAACAGACGAGAGAAGATGGAAAGTTGAATACAGCCCGGCACGTATCTTCGGACCCATTAAAACTTTGATAGGGGCAAGGCAAACATATAAAACGCTTCACTACTACTTTTTACACACTCAATTTAATAATCAAAGCACACATTACCACTAGATTTTCACAATAATTTGTGTAGGTTCATCTAACGGCATCAATAGAGAGGGGTATGATATACAAAAGAAAAATTATACGAATTAAAGTACTATTTGTTTTATTTTCCATGCTCCTCGCAATGTTATTTTGCCTACTTTCTAAGTTACTCTTTTATATCATGATGTATATATAAAATATTGCTAACATAAAGAGTTGGATTTTGTTGTGTAATTTCCTTTTTCTTTTCTTTCCTTTTCCTTTTCGGTTTCCTCTGCTTATCTGCTTTTACTTCATATATTTCCAACTCTTCATTACTATTCATTAACTTTCTTGTTAAGGGAATCTTCGTCGTGGAATCTGAGGAAACGTTAGTATGAAAATCAAGGAGTTTTCCTCGCCATGATGAACGAGAATCACTAGAGCACATGTGTATAGAAGGTTTTCTCTTGGGTTGATTTGATTGATTGTTCACTGTTCATGCTAAACAACCAACCAAACGGCTATTCTGACTTTTTGGTCCTGCTTCTAAATCTTGTTTCTGGGATCTTCTCTGTCTCTTGGTTTATTAGACAGCGTTTGTTTCAGGGCTTTGTGAATTGAATTCAGATGTCACAGCCAAGGCAAAACAAGATGATGATGATGATGAGTCCAAACGTTGCCAAACAAGTTGGTGACACTACCTATACTAAGATCTTTGTCGGAGGACTGGCTTGGGAGACTAAGAGAGACACTCTGAAACGCTACTTTGATCAGTTTGGGGAGATCTTAGAGGCCGTTGTCATCACTGACAGAAACACTGGAAGATCAAAAGGATATGGCTTTGTAACACCCTTTCTACTCTATTTGCACTTGCTCTTTTTCTCCTTCATGTGTTACTTCATTCACTGGTTGTGTTGTGTTTTGTTTCTTAGGTAACCTTCAGGGACCCAAATTCTGCAATAAGAGCTTGTCAGAATCCCTATCCTGTGATTGATGGAAGGAGAGCTAACTGTAATCTTGCAGCCCTTGGTGCACAGAAATTTGATCCATCTATAACAGGTCAGGTCTTTCACTTTCTTTGTTTTCATTCTAAAATTACTTGCTATTTGATAATGATTTTGTAAATATGACCTATATTCCTTGCATGCAAACCAAAGCCAGGGTGTTGATTGTGGCTAATAAGATTGCACATTTTGACTCATTCTACTGCCTATTCCCACTTTCAAATGTTTCTTCAGGAAGGCAAAAATTCAGTAGCCCTTCATGGAATATGGCACCAATCTCATTTCAAGGCACCTCCACTTATTATAATCAACACATACCCCACTATCCATATCCCTATCCAGCCTACAGGTATTATGCAATTCAAACATCTGAAACTAAGCTGTTTTCTTATTTGACAAATTTATCATCATATTCTAAATGAATTGCACTCCAACATTCAGGTATCCTGGTTACCATCACCCACAAGACTTGTATGAAATGGTTAGTTTGCTCAAGAAGTAGCTCTCTCTTTTCATGCCAGCTTTGAATTGCCAATTGGATATCTACAAGAAAGCCACATCTAACATAATTTGTACATAAGAGTATGTTTTGATACAAGTTAACAAAGTTTTTGAGATTTTCTTTACTAAAAATAAAGAGTTTTCTTTTTCAGGATAAACTATAAAAGACACTTATAAACTTGCATCTAATCAGATTCTAATATCATTGCATTTCATATAGGGGAGACCATTTAGTGTACAATATAAACTGTATCCTCACAATTCACAACTTTTTTTATTTGAATTTTGTGGTTCTCTACAGAACTACAATAATGTATATGGTGGACAACAGCTTCCACTACGATGGTTTCCAGCATATTGCCAACCCTTTTATGGCTTTAGTAGACAGTTCATTCCAACAGCATATGTGAAAAAGGCACAAATCCCTGACATGTCACCTCAGGAGTTCTCACTTGTTGGCTTCTCAGAACCTATTTCAGCTTCTCCTTCGATTTCCAGCGCTGGTTCAGCCTCTAAACTCTAAACTATGTAATAATTATGTTTTGACTGAAATTTTCTGAATATTCACTAATTTTTAAGGTTGTTGTGGATTGAATGAACGCAGGATTAGTCACAGGACAAGTACCTGCTGCAGGAGGGCTAGAATCCCCCCAAGAACAGAAATCTTCAACTTAAAGCCATGATAAGGAGATTCCATCAATTGACTAGAATAGAGAAAGTAAAAAAGAAAAATGACACTGTTCAATAAACCAGGAAGCTCTAAGTGCATGCCCAATGAAGTGGTCTAGCAAAGGAACTAAATCAAGCAATAACGTATTCAAGTTTTCCATCCATGGAACAAGTGATCTTAGACCAGACACTGATGAAATGAGTCCTGGATTTGTTCATTGTAATTGAAATTTTTTACTTTTGAGCATTCTGGTGCAGGGCATTCGTTCTTCAGTTTTCCACTTCTCCTTTTTTTTTTCTTCTTTTCTTTTCTTTTTTAACATGGGATTCCTGCTACGTTATAGTTTATAAGAAGAAAAATGCTTGTTATTATTCTTTATTTCTTACACCTATACTTTGCATTCCTATTGTGTTATCAGCAATCCTTTTCATGCTTCCCTGATCTTAGCAATTCTATCTTTTTTTAGCCGAAATAAAACTCGGTTAAGGAATTATTTCTCTTCAAAATAAATCCTTAATTAATGGTGTATTTAGATGAAGAATTTTACAAATTTAAGGAATTTTAAATTTTTTGTATTTGAATTACTTTAATTTCAATTTCTATTATTCTTAAAATATTTTGTTTGGACAAGTCAATTCAAATTTCTCAAATTTTAAATTGTTAGGTTGAATACGATAATGTGATTCTACCATGATAAAATTGATTTTAAAAATATATTTATATGTTTATATTTTTAAATTAAATTTTATAAAAATAAATATTAGCTAATTTTTAAATATTTAATAATTTTAAAAATTAATATTAGATAATATTTAATAATTTTAAATATATTTTTGAATATTTAATAATTAAAAATATGAAGAGATAAGAGATAAGATAAAATATATAAGTGAAATAAGAAGAAAAAAATATGAGGAATTTTAAATTCGTACTCTTTTGGGATAATTTGAATTCTACTATTTCAAAGAATTTCATAAATTATTGAATTTTAAATTCCTTATAAATTTCTCATCCAAACAAGGTATTTCACCTTAAAGAATTTGAAATTTTTTAAATAAATAAATTATTCCATTTAAATTTCCCGTCCAAATACTATAAAGATTGACGGTATATGTTAAAAATCCAACAATTGCTTGGTGTACTTAAATTTGGTGCAGTAAAGTAAACTAATAAATTATTGACATCATAAATGACTAATTTCTATGAATAATTTGATTTTATGAATGATTCTTTTAATTATATTTTTTTCTACAAAATTTGGACTCAAAATCTATATTAATTAATCATATCATGTTTATTTATACTAATAATAAAGTTAATTCTCTTCTTTTATGTACATATATTTTAATTACACTATTTTATCCTTTTTATTATAACTATACATATCTTATTTTAACTTTTTTATCTTTCATTTTTTTTCTTTTTATTTAAATAAAATGCATGGAGATACAAAGTGTAAGTTGAGAATTTTCAACCAAAATAAAAAAATAACAAAAATAAATTATTTGAGAAACTAATTATTAAAATAAATTATTTTTGTCACGTAAACAACATTGCAAACAAAAATTTCATAGAGGTGAACAAATGCTTTGAAATAAGAAATGAATAGAAAATATTTGTCCCCCTAGGTGTAACCTGTTCAAGAATTTTTTGCAAAGGTGAGGGTCATTTGAACACAAAAGTCTAGGGATAGGCATTTTGTGTTCAATTTGACTTTGAACACAAAACGCTTAGGGGTAGTCATTTTGTATTTAATTTGACTTTGAACACAAAATGGTCTGTAGTAGACGTTTTGTATTTAAAATCACTTTGGATACAAAATGCTTATTCCTTGAGCATTTTGTGCTCAATTTGACTTTGAACACAAAACACTCAAAGAGTAAGCGTTTTGTTTTCAATTTAAATTGAACACAGAATATGACCCCTGAGTGTTTTTTCTTTACATCCCTTCACATGCAACAAAGTATGTGAAAGTGTAGTGTTTTACTGTACATGTTGAATGCTAGGGTGACACGGTTTAAAGTTTGATGAATTTGAATTTTTAAATGCTCCCCTTCATGCCTCCTTCCATTTTAAAAAACTTCCTCTCCTTTCCATTGTTCATCCTCCATGATCATATTTCGCGTTCGAAATTCTTGTTACTTCATTTGTGCTTCTTTCATTTGTTGTTGCTTTGTTATTGTTTCAATTTTTGTTGCGGTTTTTGTTTTTCAACTATTTTAATGATTTATGTTAGTTAGTATTTTTTCCATTTTTCTAATTTGTTTTTATTTATTATTGGTTGTTAGATTTTTGTTTCTGTAATTTGTTTCATTTCTCAGTTGTTTTATTTATTATTAGTTGTTAGTTATTTTTTTTTCTAAATTTTGTTGTTATGTTTGATAAAATTTTTTTCCTAGTAATATTGTTGTTTATATATATTTTTAATATAATTTCTTGATTTATTTTGGAGGTTGGTGTCAAACAAAATTCATAAATTAATAATTTGCGATTAATCTTTTCTTTGAAGGTTAGTTTCAACATTTTATTTTAAAAAGATATAATTGTTTCATATTATTTGTTAAGTTATAATATAAATATTATGAATTGAATATTTTTAGTATTGATTGTTTTATTATAGTTATTTTTTTTTGTGAAATATTGTATTTAGTAATTTTTATAGTTTTGAAATATTATATAACAAATTTTAAAATAAACATAGATGCATTTTATTATTATATGTTGATAGAAGTTAATTTTAAAGAAAATCAAGTGAAAAAAGTATTCTATTTTATTTATTTAATTAATGTTATTAAAAATTCTCTTAGAATTAAATATATAAATTAAACATATAAAATAAATATATTTATTTGTAGTTGATATTTTAAATGTATATTTATTAAAAAACTATTTTTTTATATTTATCGTTTTAAAGTATTATATTATATTTATTTAATTAATATTTTTTAATAAGATGTTGTTCTTGATAAATTGTATTGGTAGTAATATTTGTTCATTTTTATTTTTAAATTATATTATATATTTATTTTGCAGGTTAGTATGAATTAAATCTCCTATCTTGTTTTTGAATTTGTATCATCAGTGAAGGTAAGTTTAGTTTCAATGTATAATTTTTAGAAGTTAAATTATTTCATAATATTTTTTAAATTAGAAATTGTATTTTGAAATTTTCTATATTTTAGTTAATGTTTAGAAATAAGAAAAGGTTTATAGGTTATTTATTTTTTTGTGTATATAAAAAAATATTTTATAACAATAACAATAATAATAAGAATAATAATAATTATTATTATTATTATTGTTGTTATTATTATTATTATCATTATTATTATTATTATAACTTGTAGGAATGTTGTGGAAATGAATTGATTATGTACAATAACGATGAACAAGAAGATTTTCGTTCTGAAGAGATTCGTTTTGAAGATTATATTTTTGCAATATACCAAAGTATTCAAGCGGTTCAAAATAAAGATGATGAAGAGTTTGTACAATCTCCATTGTCACCAACTCCAAGGCTTGGAGATGACAATGACAAACAAAAACAAATATTTAACAAACCACAACCTTTTAACCAACATAGGCCATTCATTCGAGATTGTAGCTCATCTAGCTCTACCTCTTTGATTCTTGGACCAATTGGTGCAATCCAAGTTGTGATGAGAAATTGACTCTCTGAACAACCTTTGTCAACTCAAAATTTTTTGGAAAATATTGACCATGTAACAAACATGATATTCAATATAAAGCCCATGAGGTTATGTTGTTCATTATATTAAATCACGAGGTTAGTTTGTATTGAAAGTCTGAACGAAATATATTTTCAATGTGTAAAATGAAAGTTACTAGTTTTTAAATTCATATCATGTAATTGATACTAATTATGTTTCGTTAAATATAGGATTGTCGAAAGCAACCCCTTTGAATTGCACTGGCCACAATTTCCTAAAAGTATCTACTGTTATTTCTTTTGTTAATTCTATTACTCCAAATGACATAAGAAATTATATCATTATGTTGAAGGTATTATCACTCCAATTGGTATGGTCCAATTTTTAATTTTGGGTATTTAATACTAGAAACTATAATTTTAGGATCCAATTGGTACTATGGGTGCAAGTGTGCATTGCAAAGTTGTACAACACTCACATTATGGGAAAAACATAATTGTTTGATGTGTGTTAGTTCTTAAAGAGGTATTTTATTTTTTTTAATGGTTAATATATGCTATGTAAATATTTAAATTTTTTTGTACTCGAACAAATTGTTGTTTTTCCCTTGCACGTACTCGTGACCTTTACTTCTTGAACAAAACAAGAAACAATGTTAAAAAGATAGGTGAAAAGTCAATTTTTTTGTATTAATAAAAAATTATTCGTTAGTGCTATTTTGTTTATATGTTTGTACATGATATACAGATTATTCCAAAGGACATTTGATTAACAACTATTATATTTGGTTGTAATTTTATTTTGTACTATTTTTGTTGATGACTTTAAGTTGAATATTATTTACTTTAATTTGGATGACTACAATTTTGAATATTGATTGTGTACAATGTGATTAATGATTGTAATTTAAACATTTAAATTGTGTTTAATTATTAAATTTTCATTTTGCAGTTGTATGTGAGTAATTTGTTAGGATGTCATTCTATTAGTTTACTTTTTCATTCACGACAAAAGGTTTAAGAGATTAATGATGCGATCTCACCTCACACGCAAATAGTGCAAGATTCATGAGGTGTGGTCAGTATCATACAACGCGTTCAAGATTCCAGAGGCGTCAATTATATTGTATCATGCATGAACAATGTTTTACTTTTCATATTTTTAATCTTGATTGTTCATTTATGATTTTTGATCTTGGTTGTTAATTTTGGTTGTACAAATGATGATATTTTCACTATAAATATAGGTGGTTCATGTAAGTTCATCCCATAAATTTCTGATTGCTTTTCTAACTCAAAGAATATGATGAATTGTACACATTTTTTATGGTGGTGTATTTCAATGGAAAAATTTATAATACAACTGAAGGTGCAACGTATGAAAGCTAGCACAAAGAATATTTGCGTGTAAACACTACTTTTACTTTAAGTGATATGAAGGTTGCAATTGCTCATAAAATAGTCCTGTGTGGTTCAAAAATAGTGAAATGTATGCATTATTGTTGCCTTATTTCTAAGGGAAGCGATGACATCATATATAGTTTGTGCAAACTAGACGATGATGAAGACATCGTAACAATGTTCTCTATATTCGGTAATTATCCTTCTTTAACTTCAATTGAAGTATATACCCTTGTTGAGGATGTTATAGGTGCATCTTCTAATACTCCACAAACATCAAATGTGCAATACAAAGATGAAGAATATTTGAATGAAGAA